TTATATTTTTTTGGTTAGGTTGGTGAAAGATGCTCCCTGGGATGAGGTTCCTCTGGCACACTCTCTTGTGGCCTTTTCCACTGCTTATGACTTTTTATATGACTCTTTTACGAAGCACCAAAAAGAGAGGTTTCTTGAGGTCATAGCCAATGCTTCTGGACATATGTATGAAACGTCATATAGGAGAGGATGGGGGTTTCAGTATCTCCACAACCATCAACCTACCAACTGTGTAGCACTGTTGACAGGAAGTTTAGTCCTGATGAATCAAGGTAAGCAAATTTAGCAAAAACGTGTGTGTGAGTATTTTGAGGCTTCTTAACCTCTTCATGACTGAGCTAGTTTTCAGTTTGTGTTCATAAATGACACACTTTTTACATTTTTGTTGTGTGATTCTTACACAGCAGTAATCTACTTTTTTACTAAATGTACCCACACATATTATATATTGTTTTTACATGTTTGATATATAATTTATACATGTTTGATATATAATTATATCAAACATGTATACCTAACACCTCACAGTTTGAATAAAATAAGGAAACAAAATAGAAAAAAACACTTTTCACAAGTTTTGATTCTTTTTTTTTAATATAGTAAAAATATATTTATTTATTTTTATTTTCCTAATTTTTTACACTTTTTGTCAGTTTATATCAAGCAGTCACTATGCATCTGGCTATCGAGCTATCAAAATCACTGACTCACTGTCATTTTTGTTAATAGTTAAGGTGCTTGAATGCATCTTTAACCACTAGAAGACCGGGGTGTTAAACCCCCTTTCGGGCCAGGCCATTTTTCAGTATTAAGCACAGCTCCCCTCCCTCTGTACACGGAGCGGCAGGGTTACTTTTAACCCTGCCGATCTGCTCCCCACATCGGCGGCCAGTGAGGAGAGACTGAGCAGCCTGGGGAAGGACAGAACCAGAGAGAGGTACTCCTAGTGTCTTATTTCGTGCAAAAAAAAAAATAAGACACTGTCTTATTTTCGGGGAAACACGGTAGGTGCAGCGGGGCAGGGAGGACGGACAGGCTGCACACATTTTACAAGTGATTGTGGCGACATAGCCGCGATCACGTGTAAACGAACAAGCGGCTTCCCCACACTACATTTAGTCCTGTCTTCCCAAAGCAGGACTAAATGTAGAAGGCAACTTACCGGCCGGAACTGTATGTTCCGTGTGTCGGAATTCCACAACGCTGCCGCCCCGAGGCTGGGCCTCGGTAGCCTTGTGGGGAATCCGGGCCTGAGTACAGGCCACCGGAGAGTAAGTATATCTTCTTTTTAACTCGTCACGTACAGTGTACGTGACGAGTCATTTGGTCCCTTTGTGGCTGGACGTACAGTGTACATCTCCCGTCACGAAGGGGTTAACCAGCTTGTGATTTTATTGTGTTTTTATACAATGTTTATTTCATTTTTTACAGGTTATCTGCAAGAAGCTTACTTCTGGACGAAACAAGTACTCACCATAATGGAGAAGTCAATAGTCTTGTTAAATGACGTGACAGATGGGTCACTTTATGAGGGCGTGGCCTATGGCAGCTACACCACTAGATCACTTTTTCAGTATATGTTTCTTGTCCAAAGGCATTTTGATATCAACCACTTCAATCATCCTTGGTTAAAAGAGCACTTTGCTTTTATGTATAGAACGATCCTGCCGGGTAAGAGATATTGGATAAACAAGGTGCTGCATGCAAAAATACTTTTCTGCCATATGAAACTGTCCATAATTTTTTTTTTTTTGCTTCATTTTAATAGCTACATAATTACGTTTATATCTGGTGGCCCTTGTAACCTTGTCACACATCAGGGCAAAGTTGTGCCCCAGGTTTTAAAGCTACTATATAGACACCTTTTGTCTGCAGCACTGGATGGGTGGATGCTTTCTTCAAAGAAGAACTTTTTGTTAAAAAAAAGATTTTGTTATCCCTTGCAGTGGGGCTACCTCCGCACTGCAGGAGTTAAGTGCTTGTTTTGGTCTAGGTGCACAAAAAACAAAATTATACTCGCCTGAACTTTGGAGCCGGCTCTCTGCTTGCAGCCTGTCTCCACCTCCGATGATACGATGGCCTTAGACCGCTGGAGGGGGAGGGAGGTTAGAAGGACCAGTCTAAGAGCCAGCTGGTTCCGAAGATCGGGCGACTATAACCTCCCCTTTTTTTTTTTTTTTTTTTTTACCTAGACCAAAATGAGCAGTTAACCCTTGCAGTGTGGGGGTAGCACCACTGCAAGAGTTAATAAAAAAAATCTTGGAGTTCTTTTTTAAATCTGGTTATACACCATTATCCTTTTTTTTTTTTTTTTTTTTTGTACCTAGACCAAAATGAGCTCTTAACCCTTGCAGTGCAGGGGTAGTCCTACTGCAAAGGTTAAGAAAAATGTTCTTCTTTTAATACATGCTTTGTATGGGTTTACGCCAAATTCATTTTTCTACACTCTGCGTTAGCTGCTGTGGTACAGGGATTCAACCAACCAAATTACTTTTTTTAAGGTAATAGTTACTTTGCATGAAAGTATACTGTGTGTTGTTGAATCAGCCTTGCATAAGCTTTTGTTCATATATGCTAATACATATAAGGTTCTTATATATTGTTAAGCTGAGGGACTTGTTGTTGCAGTCAGTATACATTTTATATACATAGGGAGGAATTTAAAAGCCTTGTCATAACTGTATATACCGAAATTGGTAAGGGTTTGAACAATTGGCCCTTTCGCTGCCACCGACGTAAGACCTGCGGCGGAACACAACTGATTGCAGCTGGCCACGTCGGTAAGCCTTACGTCGGTGGCTTTTGCTGTTCTGCTATAAGCTCATGGTCCTCTGTAAAATAATAGCAGTCATCGGCAGCTAAAAACCTGCTGACTAGCTATTGACAAAAATTCCGGGCGCCTCTGTACTGGGTGCTTTCCAGTCATACATTGCTGAGGCTGCAGAAAAGGAGATTGAGGACTCTGTGTTCTCAATTTCTTTTTCAAAAAGGAAATGTCAGGGGTCTGTCAACTTTAAAAAAATGTATAATAAAACACACACACACACACACACCCCTACACACACACACACACCCCTACACCCCTACACACACACATCCCTACACACACACACCCCTACACCCCTACACACACACATCCCTACACACACACACCCCTACACCCCTACACACACACATCCCTACACACACACACCCCTACACCCCTACACACACACATCCCTACACACACACACCCCTACACCCCTACACACACACATCCCTACACACACACACCCCTACACCCCTACACACACACATCCCTACACACACACACCCCTACACCCCTACACACACACATCCCTACACACACACACCCCTACACCCCTACACACACACATCCCTACACACACACACCCCTACACCCCTACACACACACATCCCTACACACACACACCCCTACACCCCTACACACACACATCCCTACACACACACACCCCTACACCCCTACACACACACATCCCTACACACACACACCCCTACACCCCTACACACACACATCCCTACACACACACACCCCTACACCCCTACACACACACATCCCTACACACACACACCCCTACACCCCTACACACACACATCCCTACACACACACACCCCTACACCCCTACACACACACATCCCTACACACACACACCCCTACACCCCTACACACACACATCCCTACACACACACACCCCTACACCCCTACACACACACATCCCTACACACACACACCCCTACACCCCTACACACACACATCCCTACACACACACACCCCTACACCCCTACACACACACATCCCTACACACACACACCCCTACACCCCTACACACACACATCCCTACACACACACACCCCTACACCCCTACACACACACATCCCTACACACACACACCCCTACACCCCTACACACACACATCCCTACACACACACACCCCTACACCCCTACACACACACATCCCTACACACACACACCCCTACACCCCTACACACACACATCCCTACACACACACACCCCTACACCCCTACACACACACATCCCTACACACACACACCCCTACACCCCTACACACACACATCCCTACACACACACACCCCTACACCCCTACACACACACATCCCTACACACACACACCCCTACACCCCTACACACACACATCCCTACACACACACACCCCTACACCCCTACACACACACATCCCTACACACACACACCCCTACACCCCTACACACACACATCCCTACACACACACACCCCTACACCCCTACACACACACATCCCTACACACACACACCCCTACACCCCTACACACACACATCCCTACACACACACACCCCTACACCCCTACACACACACATCCCTACACACACACACCCCTACACCCCTACACACACACATCCCTACACACACACACCCCTACACCCCTACACACACACATCCCTACACACACACACCCCTACACCCCTACACACACACATCCCTACACACACACACCCCTACACCCCTACACACACACATCCCTACACACACACACCCCTACACCCCTACACACACACATCCCTACACACACACACCCCTACACCCCTACACACACACATCCCTACACACACACACCCCTACACCCCTACACACACACATCCCTACACACACACACCCCTACACCCCTACACACACACATCCCTACACACACACACCCCTACACCCCTACACACACACACATGCACCATATTGTGGTGTACGCTATGCACATGCAGTGTGTTGTTAGAACGCTTTGCAGTGATTGTTTTTTTTAAAAATAACATTAATTTAAAAGAGAACTAATGAGGTGAGTGATTTACACTCGTCCTCATAGTTGGATGTAACTTGTGACATAAAAACTGTTGGCTCTATTGATCGGGACGAGTGTGAGCACAGTCACTCGCTTACTTCCCAATCATCTCCCTGCAGAGAGCATTGCCTGTCAGTCACCGCTCCCTGCAGGGATTGGAGGAACAGCGCTGACTGGAGGAACAGACGGGGGAGGGGTGGGGGCACAGCTGGCTCTGCCTCTAGGTTGACAGCAGGGCCTGCCTAACGATCATCTCCTGTGCTTCCGTAGCTCTTGCAGCACGCTCTGTAGGGAAACACTGTAGAATACACTAGCGGTCTGCTGTAGCGGTCGAATGTCCCTTAGTCATCACATTCCATTAACACTGAATAGGATGTGAGGATGCCGAATGACATACCATCGCTGCTGAGTAGGAGAGAGGGTGGAGGTAGTGCCGTCACAGCCGGCCATCTTGGCGGATCAGGCGAGTAACTTTATTTTCACCCCTAGACCAAAACTAGCATTTAACTCTTGCAGTGCGGGGGTAGCCCTACTGCAAGGGTTATTTAAACAAAAAAAATAACTGGAATTCTTTTAAAACTTCTTACGATTTTAAGTGATTAATACTTGCTTTAAAATCCTACTTCGCTTCCCTCTATCCAATCGTAAGGAGGGGGCTGTGGGAATTTGTTTACCCTAACTAAACCTGTCTGTATTGTGGTGGCAGATGTCATAAGTTGTAAACTAGATTTGAACATAGTCTGTCCTAACAAAGGGTTAAAGGCTTAGATGCATTGTGTGTTGATGAGATAAAGCTCGGTGTCCCTCAATTTGACCCTCCTTTTCTTTTCACTTGAAGGCCTGGTTCACACCAAGGCGATTTTTATCCGTGCAAAACACAGACTCTCATTCAAGTCAATGGAGGCTGTTCACACCTTTGCGTTGTCATGCAGGCGAATTCGCCTGTCGCGCAAAAAGGTACAGGAACTATTTTTGGGCAGTTGTTACACGGTTTTGACAGCTGTCTGCCCCCACACCGCTCTGATGCGGTGCAGGAGGAGATCACGGCCTCTTGCGACACGCCGGCCGCTTGCATCACTCTCCCCACACCGCTTGGCCGCCTGTGACAGTTTCACTACTCCGTGCTGGATGCCACACTGCATCAGTGGGAACACAGAGCAGCGCCCAACAGGGAGGAGAGAAACCAGATATGCACTGCAATTTTGGCCGAAAGCTGGCACTTTTGGCATTTTGCCAAAAGTGCAATTTTCGGCCAGTATGTTTCAGTGACTGAAATTTCGGCGCATCCCTACTTTAAACTGCTGTGGGTACTGCTTCATAACCAATTTCAGAAAAACAATTGGCTAATGTGACCAAAGATTTAAAAAAAAGCTATCAAAACATCTAAAATTTTGTTTCTACGGATGTTAATTTTGGGTAGCAAAATGGTATCCTGATTTTTGGGTGCAACCCTCACAAATCTACAACAGAGCAAATGTTTTAATTTCTCTCTCATCTCTACTCATGATCAACTATATGCCAGGTCCTGTTAAAAACAACCTGCTTGATCTCTCCCCTATAGTATGAACATAAAAGCATTATTTTCGGAGCCCTTCTAGATTCACGGCTATCAGATCCTGGCCAGCTGTAGCCAAGTAAACAGCAGCTCAAACACTGTTTATGCAGGGGTGGCATCAGGGCCTGTAATAGACTCTAGATGTTTCCAAAAGAGCATGTGTCACTTGCACAATGCTATCACATCGGTAGTCCCCTTGTGATCGCAATACAGTTAAGTAAACTAGAAAATAATAAAGCCTAATAAAATACCCCCAAAAAGTTAAAGGACTGTCAATGCCTTGCACACGTACATATGTAAAAATACACACACCTAGCACGTGCCATCATTTTACCATTGACTCTAAACTGAAGAGCTGGAAAAAAAAAAAAGTCAAAAATTTGCCCGGCAGGGAAAGGGTGAGATAAAATATCCAGTTTTCTAATCTCTTTTGGCCCAGTAATCAAAGTGTATTAACTGAGCAGAAATTTAATAGAAATTGGGTTTGGACAAGGAGAGGTCTTTCCATCTAAAGGGTGTTCATTTATTTAGCTTTAACCATAAATATTTTGTGTATATTAAACATATTTTGCAGAAGACCCAGCAATTTTCCGTACTGTTTTCTTTGTGTCTGATTTGACGGGAGGACGCTAGTTTGTGTCCTCCCGTTACCCCAAGGAGAACTATGGGGAAAAGCCCTAACCCCATAGTTCTCCTTTAAGCAATACCCTTCTCTGAAGTGTCTGTGTATTTTCTTGGCATAACTGATTACTTTTTTTTGTATTTACTCAGGATAGTTTGGAGAGTGCATGCATAGCTGTGTCTGGCTTTTGCTGAACAAAGTTGTCTTCTCTGTCCATCAAGTATTCTTTTGAAGAACTAGCTGTTCTTTCACTTGTTTACAAAGCCACATGTGCTGCTATAACCACACAAAACATGAATCAGCACTGTAATTGCAAATCTTGACTGCTTGAGGTTGATGCATAGCAAGAAAATTATGCCAATTCCTTTTCTCGCTTTCAGGGTGCCTCTATGGCAAAGTGAACTTTTGTCTGCAAGCATCTTGTATCAAGTAGGAAATTAAACTCATGAAATTAAACTCATGAAATTATAATCCCGTACTTCAGACCTTCAGTTGCTGCAGCTGTTCCCTGCTCTGGCATCTGTGTTGTGCTTATTTTTTAAAGCTGGATTTTAATCCGCTTATTTTGTGTCCCAATGACCATGTTCACGAAATGGTTAAAATAAAACCTCCTTAGTTTTCATTATATATCTTATTTTAGACCTATCTAAGTCATCGTTGGGTCTCCGTGCTTCTTTAGGCAGATCATGGATGGTGGAAGGGTGCTGTACTTGGCTTCCTGAAAAAAAAATCACAGAACCCTGCCTCAGTACTCTTCAGCCCTGATGCAAACAGCGAGCTGGCTCTTAAAAGGAGTTCTGCAAATATGTCACAGGTAGAAAACCCTGGGTGTGGACTTTGTCACTCAGGTTCTTCAACAAACCTAGATAGGTTTGGTGCAAAAAGGAACCAGGGTTCCTTTTGCATTCCCAATGGATGTTCTGCCAGCTGAGTGCTTTCAGTTCAGTCTGTTTTTCTTCTGAGGCTTCTCTCTCATCTTCTTTGCATGATCAAGTTGTAAGGCATCCTGGTGATTCTCCCTGGAGAGTGTTGTTTGGAATTTTTCTGTCTCCTGACAGACTCTCCATGGGCCCCCCCTGATCGTCCAGGTCTTCTTCCCAAGAACTGTATTCCAACCGGCTTCTCAGTTGCTGGCTTTGATGACCTGTGTGTTTAAAGCCTAGGTCTTGCGTGACAGAGGCTTCTTTGATTTTGCCATCCCTGCTCTCCTAATGACCCAGGAAGTCGACATCTTACAAGTTCTACCCCCGCACCTACTTTGTCCAGTCCAAGTTTTTTATGGGATAGGTCCTATTCTTACTCCATTCTAGTCTGGATCAGAGTCTGGCCTTGAGCGCCATAAAAATTTTGGTCTTGGCTTTTCAATTTTAAAGACTGCTAGCCACTTACTTTTTGATGAAGGCATTTGTGCAGTGTGTCACGCACATTGCTTCCCCTGTATGCTCCTCAGTAAGTCCATGTAACCTCCAGCTTGGTTCTGTCTGCCCTCCAGAAACCCCTTTCAAACCTATTAGGGCTATTCCAATGGCTGACCTCTCTCACAAGATGACTTTTTTCTTGTTGACTCTGCAAGGCGAGTCTCTGAAATACCTGCTTTGTACTGTAAAGGGCCTTCCTTAGTGTTGCAAAGGGATAAGGTTCTCTGGCATCCTAAGGCCTTCGTTCTTTCTAAGGTGGTCAAGGACACCTCTTGTGCTGCTCCAAAACATTCAGTGGAAATTTCTCAACTGTCTGGATGTGGTTCACAGTTTTCGTGTTTACCTCTCAGCTATTGCCGCCTTCTGGCAGTCAGATTGCCTCCTTGTCTTTCCCAAGGTATTATGCCGGGGGCTTCCTGTTTCTCATTCCATTCTTGCTAGTTGGATTTCATAGATTATGATGCTGGCATATAGTCTGAAGCATAAAGTTTATCTCTTTCCTGTAATAGCTCACTCCACTAGACCTGTTAGTGTTTAGTGGGCTTTTAAGCATCAGACATCTGTTTTCCAAATTTGCAAGGCCACCACCTTGTCATCTGTTTTACTTTGTTTTACCTCTGCTTATGCTAAGTCTGGGCATAAAGTACTTCAAGCTGCACTCTAAGCTCTGAGTTCCTTTTATTTACTGTTTTTTGGGCCCTGTTGTTTGCTATGTTGCTTACCCTTCAGTTGGACTGCATGGAGATGTCCCAGGGTCTAAGACCTAGAGAGCCTGTTGTTCTGTACTGTACGATTTAAGAAAATAGAATTTTTGGCTTGCTTGCAAAATCCTTCTCCTGGGTTACATTGCATGTCACAGTCCCCCTGCTCTCTCTTCTTATGATCTCACTACTGCTACAAAACCTGAGGCTTACTGGGAGAGGGAGGGGGTTATATGGGGCATGTCCCTGTAGCTTTTTCCTTTTTTGCCAGTGTTCCCTCAACTGAGGGTAGCATGTACCCAGGGCCTAAAATTTAAAGTCTGTATCATGTTTTGCACTCCGAGAATAAGCTTTTACAAATTTAAAAATCCTATTTTTCTTGTCCATTTGTAGGACACAGGATGTAGATGTTCCCTGACATATGGGACTTTCAGGCCTTGTTCACACCAAGCGCGTTCCAGGAGCAGAGCAGTTACAGACCGGAGCAAAACTGCGTCCAATGGTATTTTTAGCTCCAGTTCACATCGCAGCGTTCCATTCCAGAGCAGGTAAAAAAACTGCAGCAGGCCCTATTTTACCTGCTCTGGAACGCACTGAAAGCCCATTTTAAACTAAAAAAAAACGTCCGGGAATGCATCAAAAACGCGACACAACCCCCTGCACTGCGTGTGCAGAAACTCATGCAGATCTGGTCTGCATTTGGTGTGAACAAGGCCTCAAAAGCAGCCCTGAGGGATCAGCAAAAATAAGGTAGAGTAACTAGTCAGGAGTTGGCTTGGCTTAATGTTTTGTTTGCCAGTGTCCAATAATGTTTACAAATAGGAAATTACTCTTTTTATTATGATCTGTTCATTTAATAGACTCTTTAACAAGATCTACAGGTTCATAACCAATTTTAGGTCTCCTCCAGTCCTTCCATTGGTTGTTGTTCCATAAACATTTTTTTTAGACACTTTCTCTGCCATGGCCTTTTTTTTTTTGCACACCTGAGATAATCCACATTTTATGAAAAATTATACCTTGTAGAATACAATGGTGGCAGTTGCAAATGTTTATGTTGCACAATATTGACGTAACTCTTTATCAAACCCTGACATTTTGTGAAAAATACAAAGTTAATTTTAGTGCCCCAAAACACAATTAAAATACCCATTTTCTTTTCTAAAATATTAAAGATGAGGTTACAACAAATTGATACTTAACATGCCCAGGTTAAAAACTGCGTGCGCCTGTGAAATGGCGACTTAATTCAGTACCCCAAAATGTCCATAGACGCTTTAAGGCCCCGTTCACACTGAGCGATTTTATCGCGCGATTTTTGCAGCGATATCGCTCATATTTCCACGCGATTATCGCTCTATGTAGCTTCTCCAATCCATTTCAATGGAGCTGTTCACATCTCAGTATCGCTCAATATCGCTTGTAGCTCATCACTGGTAGCTTGTCGCTCCTACATGACCCTTTTTTCGAGCGATATTGCTCCTGATTGCATACAGCCCAATAGGAAAAAGTTGCGCGACAAGTCGCTGAATATCGCTCGTCGCGCAATATCGCTCAAAATCGCACGATTTTCATGTCGCTCGGTGTGAATGGGGCCTAAAAATACTTTTTACATTTTATTTATTTTTTAAAGCTTGTTTTCTTTTTTTTTTATTTTAATTGCTATTGCATAGGGGGCCTACAAGCCCCCCATATGATGGCATATTGGCAGTGACCGGTCCTCTTTAAGGTGATGCTGGGGGTCCAAAAGACCCCTAGTGTCAACGTTCCACTTTAAATAAGCTATTAAAGTGCAGATTGTACTTCAGTAGCTTATTGCTCAGCTTTAGTAGCCGAGCAATGACTGCTCAGGGACCGGAATTGATGCACTCCGTGTCGCTCCTGGTCCCATAGGAGGAGAAAGGCGATCGGCCTGTCCAAGATGGGCAGATCGTACGTTTTTTTTTTTTAAATTACCTTACAACCATCGCAAGACTAAAGTCTTGCGACGGTTGTAAGGTGTGTGCCCAGCATTACAAAGGTAAACAGTCTGTTTACAGGGCTCTGCTGCTACTGACATACTCGGTACATCCGTGGTCACGAAAGGGTTTATAAAACTGTTTATTCCACAGATATTACTGTTCATCTCAGTCTTTCATAGTATATAAAAGAACATTTGTTATCTTGTTACCATTGTCATGAGTTCCTTAATTTAATTTTCACTTTTTTTCCATTTTAGTCAGCATTTTAACCATCTTTACAGTAATTTACTGCCTAATATACCTAATAATAAAATTTGTGGTGCAGCTGGACTATATGGATAATGATATAATACAGTTCTAATTTGCCATCTTTCCTTGCAAAATAACGCCTTGACAATTCTATTGATTTAATACAATGTGCTGTGTTCTAGGTTTTCAGAGAACAGTTGCCATTGCAGATTCCAACTACAACTGGTTTTATGGTCCGGAGAGTCAGCTGGTATTTTTGGATACATTTGTTATGAGAAATGGAAGTGGGAATTGGTTGGCAGAACAAATCCAAGCCAACAGAGTGCAAGAAGGACCGGGGACACCAGCCAAAGGACAGCGTTGGTGCACTTTGCACACGGAGTTTCTTTGGTAAGCATATGGGTCACAGGAGCTTATACATTTTATTGAATAGGGCACTAAAAAAAATCCCAGGAGATGTGTATACTGTATGGATTTATATTATGCCCATGTACAGCTTAAAAGCACAGGGGGCTTGCGTTTACCTTTTTTTTTTTTTATTTTCTCCTCTGCTTTATTCATGAAGCTTTTAAAGCACTTGCTGTGTGCATGATCATGAGCTTACTTTCTAATAAAACAATCCTAGCTCTCACCTTTTTTCTTTTGCCTCTGCAGTGATATCTAAGCAACCGAATATTCGCTGAATGGTTATAGATGACGATTTAGCCCTCATTTACACTGAGCGTTTTGTAGCATTTTTTTTTTCCTGCTAAAAACAAATGCCCCCAAAAATTCCCATAAATTTCTGTGGCCATGTTCACATCTGAGTGTCGTGTTGCTTGTGGCAAAACACCCGTTACTTGAAAGTACATGAGCTCCTTTTTGGCAGATTCTGCACTTCTTGGCCCCATAGACTTCAATGAAAACTCTCAAAAACGTGAATTTTGCTGCAATCTGCTCATTAAAATGTGCAAGTTTTATGTATGCATGTAAAAATATGCAAAAACATGCTGAAAAAATGCATATGTCATGTCGCTCAGGTGTGAATGCAGGCTAAAGGTTTAGTTTTCATGAAAGACAACTTAAAGCAGAGCTCAGTTGTAATGTAGATCTGAAATATTAGATGCGTTTAGAAATTAACCTCTAAGAATATTTGTTCAAAACAAACCCAAAGGCCTCATGTTAATCAGTCAGCCGATATACATAATTGATCCATGAAGTCCTTCACACAGGGGTATCGGGAGATGAGGCTCCTCTCAGCAGGAATGTGTTGTATCCTACACCAGGACAAAGGTAGACTCCTCGTCACCAGCAGTTTGGCCTCGGGTATCTGATTTGCTAACACTCCTGGTACGCTAGAACAGCCTTGTGCTCAGAGTATTCAGAGTTTTTTTTTTTACTCCAGTTGGACTCGAGGCTGGAGGGCCTCATTGGAAAGAGACTAGAAGATTAGGACTGCTGGGACTGGAAATCCAGGACATCTAGTTCTGGATGTGTGTGTCCATAATTGGAAACTACTGGGACTTGCAGTGCCTTACTGGCTGTGAACTGTTGTCCAGACACCAAGCTCCCCATTTTTGCCCTGCTAGCTTGCCTGGTGGTCCTTGGCTGCGGCCAGGGCATGCAGGATCCTCAGACCCTCCGTTCCTGATTCTGCTCGAACACTGAAGAGGCTCCACAGACCAGCTCTACAGACCACCTCCTGCCTTACCATCCGTGTGGATCCCTCTTCTGTGGCGTGACCTGAGGCCTTAAAAGAGAGCTATGGGTAAGTGTTTTTTCTCCATAGTTCTCTTTAGGGTCACGGGAGGACATATACTAGCGTCCTCCCAAGACCCAAAGCTCAGTATATCGCGAGCTATTGCCCGCGATATACTGTGAGCGCTGCAGCAGGGACGAATCCCGACCATTACAGTCGCGATCCACCCAGCTGTGTGAGTGATGGCTGGCTCTGCCTATCTAGAGGCGCTGCCTATCTCCTCAGCGCTGGAGGATCGGGGGTGGGGGGAATCCCTGCGGGCAGTGGTGACTGACGGGTCACCGCTCACTGCAGGGAGATTATCGAGAAGTTTTTGCATGTTTCTGCTCACTTCCTGATCGATGTCACAGGTCCACTCTAACTATGAGGATGAATGGAAATCACTCGCCTAATAGTTCAACTTTTAGGTGTGAGCCATGAACCCCTTTTGTTGTACTATGCTTTTAACCCTTTGCTGTGCCCAGAGTTGCTGCCCTGTGTCCCTTGACTCTCCCTGTACTGTGCCCTGTTGCTGTTAACCCTTAGGTGTGCCTGGATTGCTGCCCTGTGTCCCGGGACTTTCCCTGTGCTGTGCCTTGTTGCCATTAACCTTGTGGTCGGATTCCTGTCCTGTGCCCCTGGACTCTGCCCGTTCTCTTCCTTACTGTTTTAGCCCTTTGTTTTGTCCAGATTGCTAGTACACTTGCCATATCCTAATGTTGAGCACCCCTTATAAAGAATCCCCTGGTAAAGCATCCTAAAAACCACTCTTGGTCTCTGTGTGTGCTCTGTGTCTCTGGTGAGTAACTTTTTTTTTTTCTTCTTTTTGTTTTTTTAGTCCTTGGACAGAAAAAAGCAGTTAACACCTGTAGTGTGGGGACTGTTTTGTTTTTGTGCATCTGAAGTGTTAGAAAGTACTGTGTACTGTGTCCACAATGGGGAAAATTCTCTAAACTTCCTTTCCTTAGAGACACAACATAAAGTGGAGATCTCCCAAAAATAAGGGGAGATTACACGAGTGTCTTCATTAGAAGATATCCCTTCTATTTTTGTTCCAATGACCATAACCTATTGGATTTTCCTTCACTTTATTTTTAAGTGACGGTGATGACTAGGGCAGACAACAGCATAAACACAGATTCTAACACCTCCATATGCTACCCAAATCTAGAAAAAAAAAAGTTCGGGATGAAGTTCCACTTTATATACTTTTTAGGTTTGATTCCTATTTTTATTTTAATGGTACTTTTAGCTGTTTGAGGGAATATTATTGAGTAATAAAAAAACCTTAAACCAGTAGCAACCAAAAGTGTAAAATATATAATGCAAATAATTGACTGATTTGGCCGCTAGTATTTAAATGTAGTAAAGTGTCTGTTCTTTTTATCTTCAGGTATGATGCATCCCTGCCACCTACACCCCCACCAGACTTTGGAACTCCAGGTTTGCATGTTTTTGAAGACTGGGGAGTAGTGACCTATGGGAGTTCTTTACCTGCAGAGATCAACAGGCCATTTCTGTCCTTCAAATCAGGAAAACTTGGAGGACGTGCAATATTTGACATTGTACATCAAAACAAATACCAAGAGTGGGTGAAAGGATGGAGGAATTTCAATGCTGGCCATGAGCATCCAGACCAGAATTCATTTACGTTTGCTCCTAATGGTTTTCCATTTATAACCGAGGCTTTATATGGACCAAAATATACTTTTTTCAATAACGTCCTTATGTTTTCACCATCGGTGTCGGAAAGCTGCTTTGCGCCATGGGAAGGACAGGTGACTGAGGACTGTACTTCAAAGTGGCTAAAATACAAGCAAGGGGAGGCAGCTGACTCTCATGGAAGGGTAGTGGCAGCAATGGAGAAAAATGGAGTTGTTTTTATCAGGGGTGAAGGTGTTTCAGCCTACAGCCCTAAACTGAAATTAAAAAGTGTTCAAAGAAATCTTGTTTTACTCCACCCACAGCTGTTGCTACTTGTTGACCATATACATCTGGATCATAGTAGCACAGTAGATGCAACAACTACTTTTTTCCACAATGTAGACTTGCCTTTTGAGGAAACCTCTATTGACGGTGTCCATGGGGCAATACTTAGGCACAGGGAAAATATTTATAAAATGTACTGGATGGATGACACCGGCTTGAGTGAGAAAGCTGTCATCTCATCAATAAACTACCCCCCGGGTTACCCATATAATGGAACAAATTATGTGAATGTCACAACCCATCTCAGGAAACCAATCACACGATCAATCTATCTTTTCATTGGACCTTCTATTGATGTTGAAAGCTTTAGTGTTCATGGAGATTATCAGCAAGTGGATGTGTTCCTTGCAACTAGTGACCATGCGTATGCTGTCTACCTCTTTACAGGTGAAACGCCAAGCCAGTCAGTCTATGCTAAAATAGTTGCAGACAGGCAAAAGATTGTATTTGATAAAACCTCAGCCATCAAAAGTTTTTCTCCCCCGGAGGTGAAGGATTATGTCACAGTCGTGGAGCAAAACCTTCAGCACTTCAAACCTGTTTTTCAACAAATGGAAAAAGAGATCTTGTCACATGTAAAAAATACTGCCAGTTTTAGGAAGACTGCTGAAAGAATACTTAGGTTTTCAGGTAAAAGGAATACAGAAGAGGCAATTGAAACGCTTTTTGACGTTTCTCAACAGCAGAAGCAACAGGGCAAGATCACAAGAACAAAAAAGGGAACCAAAAACTATAAATTTCTCAATGGTGTTCCAGATATATTTTCCCAAATTGAGGTAAATGAAAAACAGACTCGGCTAAAAGCTATGGCACTGGCTCAGAGTGAAATTCCAGTCAATGAGGATGAAGAAATGAAAGATCTTTTGGACTTTGTGGATAAACCATCAGTTAGACAAAAGTCTAGCCCGTACAGCAGATATGGTTCTCACCATATGTTGACTACACATAATGGGGCTGTAGCCATATCTGCTTCCTATACTAGATTATTTTTAATCTTAAACATTGCCATTTTTATAGTTCTGTTAGCATTACAGTTATCCCGATTTCTAAGGACTAAGAATATGCATAGAAAAAGATGTTTGTATGCCATACTCTCTATTGACTGTTGCATTTTAGTTTGGTTGTACTCCTCATGTTATCAATCACAGTGTTAAAGCCAGCCATACTCTGCGCAGTCCTTAACCTATGTCAATACTAAAGTTGTCTGCTGCCATGTGAAAATAGAATGTTCTGATCTACGTATGCCTAACTGGCTCATTTATTTTTGTATGTTTCATAAAGGGAAAAGCACTATTAATATAAAGACTTTGTACATTTATTACAATTTTGAGACTGGAAATAATTAACAGAGGAATAAAGGTTTTTTGTTTGAACTTGTCTTCATGTGCACATCTGCATTAGAATGACAGAAACTATGTAGTAACGCTGTGCCAATAATTTACAGGTTCACACTGTCATTGCCTTAGATCTACAGCATGACCAAAAACAGCCATGGTCAATCTTAATCTGTAAGGAGAGGGTGTTCATACACTGTATTTAAACAAATTAATGTAGACGTTTAGAGCCTGCCATTTTAAACTAGAAGTCAGCAGGTGCTTTTATGCAGCCAGGGAATATGTTTTTACATTGGTTGCCTGACTCGTGAGATATGAATATAACCTGTATCAGTTTTGTTTTAAAGTGACACTAAACTCAGGGTACTTGAATGCATTTTTAAGATATAAATCCTATTAACAAAAATGTATCTTATTTGTGTATTACTCGGCTATAGATCCGCAAATCATCTCTGAATTGGTGCTGATACTGTCCTTCCTTCTGGAGGGTGGCTACTTTTGTTCCCTATGGTCCCTGTGTGTGTTGTAAAGTAGCCATTAATCCCGTGATGGATTTCAATCTTACGTTTTTAGTTTACTAATTTGTATTGAAATTATAGTCTATCACGGGAGCATGGCATATTCTCTCTTTAATGCTATGCACTTCTATTTATTTTTCTGTAAGAAAAGGCCTTGTATTCTCAACAATATGTCTTTATGTCCACTATTGCACTAACTCAAATATTTTTGCTGCGTGTATGCAGATGCTTGCTCCAAACTAACAGTCTGGGCCAATATTAAAGAGTTTTCTTGGGCTGCTGGCCCTAAGCTGAGATCCTTCATCCAGACATTTATCAGAGTTGAACCTGTAGTCAATGACACATAATGGGACTTATATACATGCACCTCATTCAGGCCTGGGATAATAGCATCTGTCACAGGGATGTCTTCCAGAACCAATTTCCTGTGCTGTTCTGAGAATGAATGCCAAAAGCAAGTAAGGTACCTGACGCTGGAAGATGTGAAAAGGTGTCACAATAAATCATGTCCCATAAGAACTCTAACCTTGCCCTGTTTTTCCCTCATTTGCCCAATTTGTCCCGCATATGGTTGCATTTTCCTCATCCGTATAGGCCAGGTTCACACCATTTTCCAGACCAGATCCGGAATGTGGTGTATTGTGGTTATGTGTTTTTGACACGTTCCAGTTTTGTTTGGGTTTTTTTTTGGGGGGGGGCACTATGCTTATAATGCCCTGAGGTCAATTCCTTCTGTTTCTTAGCACTTCTTGCGTATGGAAAGGTACCAGAAAATTGGGAAATGTTTTCCAGTGAAGTCTTTTCAACGCTATAATGTTTTGTGTATATAGCACTCCATGCTTCTTGTGGTTGTTCTGGTGAAATGAAAGTGGCCGCTCCTGACTATTGTGTTTTTAATGTGCTTTCATCTTTTCAGCCCTTTCCCCAAGTGACCTTATGTTTTTGGTTTGTTTTTTGAGGGGTTTTTTAAGCTCCCTTAAGTTGTTGCTACCTGACCTTGAGCGTCTGATAAATTATATGGCCAACAATTTTTGCTAGGGATGCACAGATACCAAGTACCATACTTGTTGCAAGTACAACTACTGATTTCAGCTCCAAGACTAGAATAGTGATACATTTTTGTTTAGTGTCATGTGACTGTTTTAATACAGCCTAATGATTTCAGGTACAGTGGAGAAGCACCAGGGCCCAGTCGAACCTGCAACCCCTGCGCCTCTGGTAGTTCTCATGACAATGCCAAGTACCTGAACTGGTATCTGCATCAATAATTTTTGTGAGCAGAGTAACCTGTCGACTAATAACTCTACAGTCGCCATGCAATATTTGTCATGGTATTCTGGTAGCCAGAAAACACACAACCATAATCTCATATGTGGCTGCTTGGAAATGTTCAGCTGCTCACGGCGTGACACCATGAGCTAAAAGCTGCATGTAGATAACACAGTCATGCGTAATAGATCACTGTCCATAGACAGGCAATTTTACAAAGCAAATGTTTTGTCACCTGCAGTTAGAAGCGTATTGATGGTTTGGGTGCCAGTGGATGCATCTAAATATGGTATATTATATTGGAAGATTTCTTTGGGTTCCAATAAAATTATACCCATGAAATAAAGGCAAAGTGCAAAAAAATTTTTTAACTAATGACCCCCCGCCCTCCTTTTTATTGAGAACTATAAAAACCTTATAAACATATTCAGTAAACATTAACAGAATAAAAAAACCATGAAATACAAATGGAAATTTTACATATTATAATAGGACCCCTCCTGATGTGGTGTGGTAGAGTGGGCTCTCCCTCCACTCGGTAATTGTCGGAGGCCTCCGGCACTGATACCCCTTTACAACAATACCCATATCAGCCAAGCATTCTGCCTGCAGATTCTTGGGCACCTGCTCAATGATTGGCACCATAGCATTGGCCGTGGTGCGTGGATAACTTTTGAGTTCTGCAAATTTGCTCTTAAAAAAAGCACACTGCCTCCCAAAAGTTTGTCCAGGTTTTTGTTCCACCTTGGTGTGCTCCTTTGCTGTCTGGGAGCTGGTGATGGCCTTCCTGATTTTGGCCTGGAAGAGGACAGGCCGGGCTCCTCAACTGTGAGTAAGGCTTCCTCCAAACTGGTCCCCTGTGTGTCCCCGGGTTCCTCACATGCTACAGTTGGAATCTTCTGTCGTTCCCCTTCCTCCTGCTCACATGCAGTTGATCCAACACTTTCCTCCACCATATCAGTGGATGTGTCCTCCACCGCTGGACTGTCAGATGGGCCTGCATCTGGAGCCCCTGACACAGCCACCGGAAGCACACTTCTTGGTGGCCCCTGATTGTCCCAGTTACTGAATTGTTCTTTTCATTAGGAAAAGTATCATTAGCGGAAAAATTATGATAAAAGATGACCAATATCATGCCACCTTACTAGGCCAACTTCCGTAACTCGACAACAGGCCTCAGAAATGACAAGATGCCGAAGTGCGTGTGTTGCCTCCCTTGGCTCCCCGCTCCACTCCTCTGCTCCTTTTAGCTGACATTGCAATTCTTTCGGGTAACAGTCCTTTAGACTGCTCTGTATTATCTTTTTTAAATGTTCAACTGTAAAAAAAAAAAAAGCAAACATCAATGCATTTATCATCTATTTCTTGCAGGTTCCTGGCTACAGGTCATATGCATCCATGCATCTTGAATTTTGAGTTGGAAGATTGACCACCTATTACATTATACAGTCTGCATGTAAGGCAATTTTGATGTAACCTGCACCATGTGGTCATGCCAGCTCCAACAGAGGAAAGGTGGCTGGATATTGCTAAACTATTTTGGAAAAGATGTAATTTTCTAAACTGCATAAAAGTGCCCATACACTGCACGGTTCTCATATGAGAATCGCGGGAAATCCCGCGATCGTACGAGAATCGTGCAGTGTATGGAAGGCGTGTGACCATTTCTAATGTACGGTTGCATGACTTTTGTATATCGAGCACGTTGGAAAACCAGCCGAGAATCGTACGATGATCGAGAGATCACTGCCGTACGATGATCGAGAGATCACTGCCAAATGGGCCGGTGTATGGGCACCTTTTTATAATGCCCCCAATGAGCGGAAGTAAATATTTAAATTATAAAAAAATATTTCTCATTAGTCCTGCTGGCAGTGGCAGATGCGGATTATTGCTTCACTTGCGTGGACATTGGTTCACATGGAAGCAATAGTGATTCTGCCATGTTTAAGAATTCTATATTGGGTCAGCTATTACAGACCAACAGACTCAATCTTGGGATAGACCATGGGCATGAACCACTGACCCTGCCTATCCTTTTGTTTGTAGGTGACAAAGCTTTTGGGACAGGGAGACCTATAACGCGGCTCTACTCATGGCGGAGCCTAAACCACAACCCTTGCATGTTTACCTAGATTGTCACGTGCATGTAAAATGGTGGAGTGCACATTTGGGATACTGGCTAATAAATGGCGAGTATTGCACACAGTCATGCAGTTAACCCCCTGAAAATGCAACAAATATTAAGGCTACATGTGTTCTGCACAACTATGTCAGGGAGAGTGATGGGTACAACTTTGAGGACTCCTCACAACATTACCTAGAGCGGGCACAATGCAGTGTTGGTAAGGGAAGCATGAATGCTCTTAACATGAGAGATGACCTGGACGAATATTTTCTGACCCCCCTGCTGGTGAGAAGCACAGCTTAAAAAAATTATTTGCTTGTTCTTCTGCTTTTTCTTGTTTACATGATTGTAAAAAGTCAATCACATTTGATGTGGTAATGTAGTTAGCAAAATGTTCATATGCTAATTGTCGTTAGGGATTCATCTGCACATCAATACAGCGCTTGAACCAAACAAAATATCCGTTGGTGATCAATATGACGGCACGGATGGCATCGTGCAACAATCCAAGTAAAGATAGTAGTCGCCAGCACTCACTTGTACTGTGCAAAAAGGATAGCACTTTTATTGATACGTCACATACTTCTTGACGCATGTGATGTATCAATAAAAGTGCTTTCCTTTTTGCACATTACAAGTGATTGCTGGTGACTACTATCTTTATATGCTGATTGTCTCACATGCCAAATAAAAACCTGATTTTTTTTTTTTTTTTTGGCTCTGCATCCTTCATTTTATCTTTTGGTATGTTAATGAAAATGTCTACTTAAGGGGGTGGGGGAGGGAATTAACTAAAATAAATTTAGCATGTAGAGATGTAGTCATGAAAATAATCAACTCAATTGACAGAGCGAATAAGTTTATTATTGTGGCAAACTTCTCCACACTATGTAATCCTGTTTGGAAAAATATCCCTTCTCCCCCTCCTGCAGCTACAACAACCTGTTTTGTGTGCTCCATGTAGAACAGTGTGGTTGTGCACAGGCAAAAGCAGCACACTTAATTGGCAAATGGAGAGGGGGGAATTCTGCAATCTGAGAAGTACTGCATCCATATACAAGTGGCAGGGCAAAAAATAGCAGAATACACGCTGGACA